CTATATAAATACTATATACTATATATACTATATAAGATTTGGGACTTGGGATTGAGATTTGTCCAGTTTTGACATATGGGATTTTTAGATATGATTGGACAATCTTATTTTTCCAGGTTTGTCCATGGAAAAATCCCAAATCCCAAACATTTGTCCGGCATGTATACTTGAACCAGGCAAGTATCTACCATTCAATATCGGGTTATATTTACAGAATCTGATAACAATACTCGAAGAAGATGATAGTAATGATAATGAAACAAAATCATATATCAACAAAAAGTGTTTAGTTATTTGTAAAACTATATTAGTTCTTGATAGATTTAATATTAGAAACATTGTAAATAATTTATTTAATAATAGATATATTTATTTATAGGTTTAGTTTATAATAAAATCATATTTTAGAAAATAAATATAATATCTATGAAATAATGATTTTATTCTTTACGTGATAAATTTATCTTGTATGTTTTGGCGTGTTCAACCAATTGTTTTAATATCTTGTGATTTTCAATGGCTGATATTAATCCTCTGGTAAAAAAATCTGGTGATTTCTTACCAAAGTCATTTTTTACGATTACCTTGTTAGGATATTCTAGATGTGAGTACATTTCGTATAATTTATATGTTTGTTGGTAGGCTTCTTTAACTTCGAGGGACTCTGATCTACGCTTATTGGACATCGTGAATGCATACTCATTATCTTCGGGAGAAATATAAATATCTAGACATTTCGAATCATGTAATTTATAAAAACTGTCCAATGAAAATGTGGGTATATGATATGCTCGGTTGAAAGTATTTACACATCCTGGACTCCTTTCATAAATTACTATTGGTTCGTTTCCAACATCTGCTTCAGTTTCACCACATAGAAGTTTATCAATAGAATTGTAAGCTGCTAGGATCTGAAATTGTTTGATTTCTTTTGGTTCGTCTCTGGTATGATAGTGATCAGGATATAAGTCTCTGATTGAGAGATGATCTGACCCTAAACCTTTTCGATCACGATAAGAGTTTAGAAGTGTTAGCATACTAGATACCTCGAGATCGATACTTTTGAAAAAGGCAGTGCATATCTTAACACCTTCTGATAACCCAGAATATGGTCCACCAAATAAAATAATTTCATTCTTGATCAGTTTACAGTAACTGTTCACTTCTTCGAATACATTCTCAATAGTTGGCGTGAAATATTTTGTCTCTTTATCCTTGTTATCATTTATTCTTTTCAAAATATCATACAAATTCAAAGCAATCACTTCATTGCTCCTTTTCTTTTCTTTTGAATAAGGAATGAAATCATAACTATCAAAGATAATTAGAAATACGTGGGTGACTATCCCATCTGTTTCAAAAATCTTCTTATCAAATCCAAAGTATTTAATCTCACAGGAAATCTTTTTGATATCTAATTCTGTTTCTTTAAAAACTTCTCTTGACATAGCAGAAAATATACCTTCCTGTTTGTATAACATTTTGTATTGTTTATCATAGATTAGTAAATCATCACCGGTAATCGTATTCTATTTCTCTAACTTAACAACATGTTCGATATCAAACCCGTCTGGAGCATCGAATACTTTCTCGATATCCTCTTTGCTTATTTTTAACTAAATCTCATTGCCTGTTTTTAATTCATCCATAGTTTTCTTCAAAATCTCAAATCGTATTTCTCACTTTCCTCCAATGGGTGAAATTTTAGATTTATACTGTGAATTACTCTGACTGCGTAATTCAAAGATAAACTTATTCATACGCTTGTCATATAAAAATGCAGATACAAATCTGTATTGTTTATGTCCATTATTTCTACGTTTAATTCTATATTCGTTAGTAAATTCTGGAAT